TTCACAACTTTCATGTAGTTTTATTTACAAAAAAACAAAAAACAAAAAAAGTTTGTACCCAACAACTCCCTAGGACCCAAGGGAGGGAAGTGAAAGGTGAAAGCAGTTGGAGCTCCGGAGAAGCGCCACGCCAGCCTGGAACCAGAGGGCAGCTGCGGGCTGCCGCCGCCTTTTCCACCGAATCTGCTGGAACTCAGGCCACAGCAGCACGCGCCTAGACTCATACAAAAAAAAATACGCACCGTGTGCTACAGTGTGTGCCCGGGCCCCACGACCCACCTAGAAGCCTGGACTCTTTCCCACCGCCCGGCACCTTGCTCTGGGTGCCAGCGCACCACCGGGGCAGGTGTGGAGCAGCTCCAGGACACCTGCCGCGACCACACGGCTTCTTGGAAAACAAAACCAAAACGCTAGCTGTGCCACACAACTAGTAACGCTGTAAGAGTGTTTTTACCACGTCCTTCCTTCCGCTTCTGTGGAAGCCACTCAACGCTGAGAGGCGGTCGTGACGCTTCGACACTCAGACCCCCCCAAGAGGGAACCTGCCAGGTGGCCGGAATACGCCCTCCACACACTGCTGGCCGGGCCTGGGGGATGCGGGGTTCCTGGGGGAGCAGTCCAGCCGAGGACCCCCGGCCGACACCTCCTCAGAGCTTCACGCGGGGGGGTGGGGGGGGTAGGGAGGGCCGAGCCCTGCCTCCTCCACCAGTCACCCCAGCATGGTGGCCTCAGGGCCCCCCAGCGCCCCCCTCCCATTACCCTCGGCCTCCATAGCCTCTCTCCCAGCAAACCTCTTGCAACTCTTTTTTTGGCATCTGCCTCCTGCGTCACCCCACCTGATCCATTCTTCATTCAAGAATCTATTCTGGCTCATTTTGGCAAAAATTGCTGCTGTTATGCCTTATTTTGCAAAGTATACCGATTGGCGGGCTTCTCTCCGAACACGAGGATAGCGTGTGTCTCCCTCGTAACAGGCACGTTCATCAGTAGCTCCAGTTAGACTCGGACGCGGCCTAAGGTACAAACCAGTTCCCGGAAAGCCTGACCGACCACCGGCGCGCTCCCGCTCGGGCCGGGACACCCCGCAGCGCACTCCCGCCGCGTGCACGAGGCGCCTGGGCACACGTGCATCTGCGGTAACCGACTGCCCCCGCGCGGCACCACATCTAGCATGCAGCTGTTCCCGCCACCTCAGACAGGGATTTCTGGCCCCCCTTCCACCACGTGCAGACTTCTGGAAGTGAGGAGTTCTTAAATGACTACTTACGTGAAGCCAACCACTTAGTTTTAAAATGTAGGTTCGTGACACATTGAGTTTTCTGAGCAGCAAAGTGCTTTGGATCCAAGACGACCTCTGACGTCTAGATTCATCCATCACCTGCTAGCTGGACAACCCCCCCCCCAAGCTCTCCCCCTTGGTCTCTCCATCTGTGTTACGGGGCAACGCCACTGTCCTCACGGGGCCTTTTCTTAAAGAATCAAACAGCATAAGGTGCCATCACGGTAGCTGCCGTCGCAGCACAACACAAGGCCTCAGTGGGGAGGCGGGGGGCACACACTCATAAAGCCGGCGGCTCAAGCAGCGACATGATGAAGAGGAGAAGAGCCACCACCTCTGGGGCTCCAGATCTTGGCGCCCCCCTCCCAGGGTTGCCACCATTGGGGGCACCAGTCACCGCTGAGCATCACATCTGGCTGCAGGTACTTCCCTCCAGCAGACAGCTGGTCACTACTGCTCGCGGGCGAATTCCTTGGCATTGTTCTTTGTCACCGATTTCACTCCCCGCCCACCCCACTTTCAGAAAGGAACTGAGAAGAGCCACGTTAATAATGCATGGCCTCCCCGAGTCGCCTGGGGACAGGTCTCCCCGCCCAGCCGCTCCCACCGCTCACTCGCCTCCCTTCTGAGTCCTAGGCCCAGGGGCCGAGCGCTGCCTGTCACAAGTCCACCTGCTGCGACGTACCCTACCTGAGACCCTTCCGGCGACGCGCTCGGGACAGCAGTCAAACCCCAGTGTCTGCAGCCCGTGAGCCTTCACCCTGCGGGGAGGCCGCGGCCGACCTCCCCCCGGGCCACCTCCCGCATGACCCAACGATCGCACAGATGCCCTCCCAAGATTACCACCTCTCACGCTTTGCTCCACAGAGATAATCAAAACACAGCGAATGCTTCTAATAACCGAAAGGAAGGGTGGCCCAAGGACACACCACTACTGTGTGGGCCTCAAACGCAGCATTTTGAAATAAGTAATTTGCAATTACCGTTAAGATAGAGTAAGTACTGTTGCCAAGGAGTTTTAAAAGGGCAGATAAAGTCACAGATGTTTCACTTCATGACTTGAAACGACTCATTTAAAGCCTCAGAGGTTCTCTGGTTAACCAAAAGGAAAACCCGGGAAATTTCGGACCAACTGCTTTACAAAATTCAGTCCAACCTCGCTGTACCATCAGTGTCTCCCTAGGACTGAGTAACTACAGACCTGAGCTTATACAGGTCATTACAAAGGAAACGGACAAATGTAGCCACTCGCAGCCTTTGCTCTATGAACATCAATCAGCCACCCTCGTACCCGTAAACAGTCCTGACGAGGCCTGGAGGCGGAAGCCGGGGCTGCCACACGGACGGTGGCAGGGGGCCGCTGCTAAGGGTGAGGCGCGCCCGCCTGGCCTGCGCTGCAAGCGTGCCCTCTCCTGCCTCCCGTTAAGTCAGGCTGAGAGTCAACAGAAGGTGTGCATGTCAGGGGTAAAATGTCACTGGACAAGTTAACCAGACCCTCCCCCTCCAAAAAAAAAAAAAAAAAGTAAATTTGGCTCCTCTCAACACAACGTATTTTTCCTTGTTTTTAAGGATTTCAGTATTTTCCTCCTACCTCCGATTTGACCCCAAATGAAAATATGTGGACCTTTAGCAGATGGTGGGGTCTCAGAAGACGGGAGCCCACGGACCTTGCTTTAAGTGTGGCCGTGCTGACCTGTGACCTCACCTTCGGCAGGCAGCAGGGCCGCTGTCCTCGCAGACCACTCTTTTCCAAGGCTCAAGTGTGACCAGAGAGAACACAGGCCAAGGGCCAACCCTGCGTATCACGGTGGACTCGGCTAATGTGGGAAGCAGGGGTAAAATCGGACAGACCAGATCACTTTGGTGGATACACTTTCTCTGCCTTTCAAAATAGAACAACTACTTTGTTTGCTTCCCCAACCCTGGCCCACAGACCCATGCGCAGGCGGCGGGCGGGGGGGGGGGGGTGTTCCTGTGGGCACTGAGCCTGCCACGTGGGCCAGCCGGGGGCCCAGGGCACCCTCCCTGGAGGCGCTTGCTAGAATCCAGCCTCCGGCGATCGACATATCCCTCCGGCACTTTCCCTGACCACCTCACAAACCCTGCCGGTCATCCTGCTGTCGCACACGCCTCAGGTCATTGCGGAGACAGAGCTCAGAGCTCTTGGTGAGGTCCCCAGGTGGGGTCCCACACAGGTGGGGTGAACAGCAAACCCCGGTGCAGCGACACCCCTAGCACTGCACGTGGCATTGGATTCGAGACTAAGGCAGTGACTATACCTTCCAGGGTTTGCACATCCTGCGGGTCAGTCCCATGTAGCTTCTCTTTTAAACAATGTAATCAAGGAGATCTCTAAGGGTGACCAAGAAGTGGATACAACAGTGAACCACAACTGGCTAAACTCTAAAACTTTGAGGGGGATGGGGGTGTAGTGATGATCCAGAAAAGTGGGAGGAGCAGCAAGAAAGCGATCAAATCCGAGAATGTTCAGAATCTGGGACCCCTTAGGAAGCTTTCAACAGAGAAGTGAGGACTAGGAACCCCTAAGTGAGCATCATCAGCCTGCAGAGCTGTAACCTGGAGCATGTCCCGGGCGGGTTCTGGGCTTAGCCCCACTGCTCTGGGCCCCACCAGCACCAGCACCAGCTCAGCAGTGGTGGAGCTGGGCTCCCTGGGATGACTGTCACTTCTCCGATGGGGGGCTGTGTCCCATCGCAGACTCTCTGAAGGCCAACGGTCCTTGTTTTTCCTTCTAGTAAGATCCTATTTCCTAGGAAAAAAAACCCACCTGCTCAAATATTCCCTTAGGCAAGATTGTTAATAGTGTGCTTTAAAAAAAAAAAAGAAAGGTGCAGGAAGCCATTTATAAGAGCATTTTTCCTACTGCACTCAACTTCTCTCTAAGTTTAAAAAAAAAAACTGCACAATTTTTCAAGGTAGCTTTAAGTGCTAATAACCCTCCTTTCCAGGACCCTGGGGCGGCCCTGGGGGTGGAGGTGGCTCCGGCCCCCAAAGGCTCTTGGGGCTCTTGGATTACGGGCTGACCCCATCACTTGACGGGAACGGTGGAAATTCACAGTCGGCCTTGGTGCAAACGCCAAAGTCAAATCTGAAAACTCAGCACCCGCCACCCCCCTTCGCGGCCCCACCTGCAGCCCTCCCGCGGGTTGGGTAAAAAGTGAAACTCGGCCTCGGCGCGCTGGGTTGGGGTTGGGGTCGGGGTCGGGTCCGGGGAGGGGGGGCCGCGCGGGGTCCCGGGTCCCCAGCGCCCCCGAGCCAGGCAGGGGGCAGGTCGCGTCCGCGGGGGGGGGGGGGGGTCGCAGGAGGGCCCGAGCGAGCGGAGCCCGCGGGGAGAGGGGACGGGGTCGGGGGTCGCGGGGGGTCGCGCCCTGCCTCGGCCCGGGCGCCCCTCCGGGCCCCCCCCGGGGCTCCCCCCACCGCGCTCCCCGCGAGGCCCCCAGAGGGGCGCACGGGGAGGTGTCCCGGGCCTGGGCCGGACCGGGCAGCGGGGAGGCCGGGGTGCGGGGAGGCCCCGGGCCGCCCCCCCGCGCCCCGCGCAGCCCGTCCTCCCGCAGGCCCCGCGCCGGGCGGAGCGCAGCCGACCCACTGCGGCGCGGGGCGCGGGGCGCGGGCGCGGGCGCGGGCGCGGGGCCGACCTCGGGCGGAGGAGCGACCTCGGGCGGCGGGAGGGGGCCCGACCTCCGGGGGCCGCGCCGCTCACCTGCAGCCGCCGCCACCTGCTCGTCGCGCGCGCGGCCTCGGCTCCCTCGGCGGCCCCTGCGGCCGCTGCGCTCCGGCCCTGGGCGCGCCCGGCCCTGCGTCGGGCCTCAGCGAGTGCGGCGCCCGCCGCCCCCGGCCCCCATCCCGCCCCGCCCGGCCCGCCGCCCTCCGCCCTCGGCCGCGCCGCCCCGCCACTTCCTGTGCGCGGCGATCCCACAGTTCCGCCGGCGCGCGGGGAGGGCGGACACGCGGGGGGACACGCGGGGGGGACACGCGGGGACACGCGCGGGGGGAGGAGGGGCGCGCGGGGAGGGGCGCGCGGGGGTGGTGCTGGCCGCGGGGGGCGCCCGGGGGGGGGGCACGCGGGGCGGCGGGGACGCGGGGACGCGGGGACGAGCAGGGGCGCGCGGGGAAGGGGCCGGCGGGGTCGGGAGCGGACGCGCGTGAGCCCGGGGCGGGGACGGCGGCGGGGCACGTGGGCTGCGGGGCCGCGAGGCCGGCCGGGGGCGGGGAGACGGCCCGCGAGCCCCCGCCCCCCGCGCCCGCGCCCGCGCCCCCGCGCCCCGGCCTGTTTCCGGGCGCGAGCTCCTCCCCTGGCCCGGGTCACGGCCCGGGTCGCGGGCGCCGCGGGGGGTGGACGGAGGACGGATTTCCGACCCACGTGCAGCGCCCTTTGACTTATTCATAGTTTGCAGCCACTGGCAACATTGTATCGATTTGACCCGGGAGGAAGCTTCCCGGAACCCTGGGGGGGGGGGGGGCGGGGGCGGCGGCCGGGAACCTGCCTCGCTCGCTCGCGGTGCCCCGGGTCCCTGGGCGCCCCCAGCCCCGGGAGTTCCCCACGGAGCACCTGCTGGTGGCTGAGCCAGGAGGCGGCCCCAGGGAGCCTGGCCCGCCGAGGGTCATCTCCCCCTGCCTGCCCCGCCGCCTGCCCCCCTGAGCTTGGACGGTGGACGGCTTTCAGTGGGAAACTATTTGAGATACCAGGCGCCCTTACACGGCTTGTACCTCCTTTTAACCCTCCTCCAATTATTTCAGAAAACACTTGGGCTAAAATAAAATAGAATAAACATACATGCACCTGTTCTACTCACAATTCCCTAATCCTTGAAAAAGAAGTTATGGTTTGCAGGGCTGGCGGAAAATCATTACTGGTAAAACTGCAGCCTGCGCCGCTGCTCCTCCTCGCTGTCCCATCCTACAGGTAAAATTCCCACAGGCACCTGCAGATGTGCGAGTAAGGATGTTCTGACTTAGGGCGCAGAATCACAAAAATCTGAAAACAACCCACAGACATCTGGTTGAATAAATTCCAGCCTATTTTTAATATATTAAAAATAATAATTTTTAATTTAGAACATTAAAAAGTTAATATGGTAACTATATATGCTGATATTACATAATCTGCAAGATTTGTTAAGTCAAAAGAGAGAGTGAAGACGCAGGGCAGTGTGTATACAAGAATCTCTTTGCCGTATTGAAAAGCAGCGTATATGCAGCCGTACGTCCAGAAAACTTCTGAAAGATAAAGAGTTTTCGGCTCTTTTGTTCTCGGCTGGACTGTTAACGGCTGGACAGGGGTAGGTCGACTTCATTGTTGCTAGGTAGTCACGTTTAAATTTGTCATATGCACACACTTTAGAAATAGGTTTTTAAAACTAATTAAATGTACCTCATCATTTGGACACTCGGTGGCCCCTTAATAGTCACTCTGAACTTCTAGATCAGCTCAAAATACTACTTGTCTCGACAGAGTAAAGCATCATCAGTGTAATCTAATCTATATTCAGATAGAATCTATGATCATTCAGACCTAAGCTAGCAGGAATTTGCATCTGGAAAAGCTCAGCTGAACATATGAGCAGAGTAAACATTTAAACAGAGCTTGGAAGTCAGCCAAGCAGCCCTTAACTACTTACCGGGCCCTGCGCGGAGCACGTGCCGGGACGGCTGGGAAATGTGGTCCTCGCTGAGATTCCCCGACTTTATTAGATGCGTGCGTTAGTTCACCCACGTCCCCAAACAAAGCCCTGAGGTAGAGACGACCGGCATCTGTTCCACATTTGCAGAGACTGAGGCACCGGGAAGCTCCGTGTCTCCCCCGCCAGCCCGCAGCGGGCAGCAGGGCCCCGCTCCATGTGACCCCAGTAACCAAGTTCTCTGTGTTGGGAGAGACTTAGGTCCCCCCTGAACCGCTTAAATTAAAATGGGGAAAGGACAGGTCTTAGCCAGAGTGTTCACAGGCACAGATTTGCAGGGTGAGGGGCTTTCTGCATGCCTAGAAAGGAGGGGAGTGGCCTTTGAGTACAGCCTGAGTGTGAGGTAGGTCCTGGGAGGGGGACTCCCCATTCCTTATTTGCTCTAAATCTCCAAACCAACTTGCTTGATAACCTGATAACCGTTCCACCAGGTAAATAAACCAGACCCCAGGCGGTGATCCTGAGGCCAAAGAGCAGCCTAGAAGCAGTCTTTCCAGTTCAGAGTCTCTCGCTCGCTCTGGTCAAGCCCTGCCCGTAGGCCTCCTCAAGCGCTCCGAGGGCATTGTGGGCTCCAGGTGAGTCCGGATTGAGGAAGGCTTCCTGGGGCAGCTGGACACGGATGTCACTGCCCCGGGGGAACTCAGAGCTTAGCCTGTGACCTTGGTCAAGGACATGGCCTATGTGAGTCTTCGTTTCCTATAAAGCAAGGAGGTTCCCACCCCAGACTTCCCTGATCCCCAAGCGTGTGCCAAGAGAGCCAGGCCGAGGGGCTAGCTCCGGCATTTCTCAAAGCCTAGAGTTTACTTTTAACCAAGATGTAAAAGTTTACCAAAACTAAAGATAGTGACTTTGCTGGAAATTGATGAACTCCAGCAGTTAACACTAGCCTCAAATGGAGAGATACTGTATATGTTTTTAATTAGTATATAGCAGGAAAACAGTGGTTACAAATGCAAGGTTTTCAGGAGACTAAGTATTATTTTAAGTAGGCTCCACGCTGAGCGTTGGAGCCCAGCACGGGGCTTGAACGATCAGACCTGGGTTGAGATCAGGATCAGACGCTTACCCAGCTGAGCCACCCAGGAGCCCCACAGGAGACAAAGTGTTTTAAAAATGGGCTTCTACAGGGCCGAAAACCCTCAAAGGGAGTTTTCATGACGCAGAGCCTGGAAGCCCCCGACACTCTGAGACCCTGCCCCGAGGTGGTTGTTGAGAAACTGTGATCAGCCTGGAGGTCAGAGTCAAGGTCACACGAGTGGGTGAAGCCAGTGCCCAGCCGAGGACAGACCTCAGGCAAACGTCCAGCATGTGGGGAAGCCCTCTGCGCTGGGGGAGAGCCCCGGGTTTGAGTCCAGGCTCATCCTAGCTGCAGTAGGAGCCTCACCCCCTCATACTCAGCCATGGGGCTCCTGGATGCAGTGGCCGAGCTGTGAGGCTTGAGGACCTGTGGCCTGAGTGCAGGGGCTGTTCCGACCAGAGCCACCCCGCTGATAGCCATGGACCGCCATCGGCATCCTAGTCTCCCTGGGTAGAGTAAGGGAGCCAGAGAGGTGGGCAGCTGGGCCAGGGGGCAAAGACAGGGTGACCAGAGCCAGGCTGTGAGGCCTCGTCCCTGCAGCCAGTCGGAGTGGGTGGGGTACCCCAGCATGTCAGCTCACAGCCTGGTGCCTCTAACAGGCCATGTTGGCTCCTGGCCTTGGTCAGCAGCTGCCCCAAGGCCTGAGACTCCGCCTGCCCCGTCCTGCCCCCCTAGTGCCCCAAACCCCACTGGCTGCGTTGTGCCTAGAGGCCTCTCCTGACACAGGCACCTGCAAAGGAGACTTTGCCCCTGCCCGTTAGAAACACTGCCTGACCGGGGCACGTGCTGCACCCAACTCTGCAGGTGAAGGGGGCTGTCTGGGCAGATCCTGCCCTGAAGGCCCCCTGGCCTCTCCATCGTTGAGCGGCCCAAGCTCCTCGCCCACAGCCTGGGGCTGGCAGGGTAGGTGGGCAGGAAACCCACACAGGACGTGTGATCTATCAAAGGATCACACCCTCCCCCCTCCCACCCCACCTCCACCCGCAGCCCCACTTGGACACACAAAAATTCTAATTTTTTTCTTTGCACCAAATCAGCTTTCAAATTGTTCTCTGGCATTCAAAACTAAACAAAACAAACTAAAGTACATGCTATTTCTACAAGGTCACCTGTCCAGATGTGGCATCTCCGATGTAGGAGAGGCACAACCCAGCTCACAGGCCTACCGAATCCCTGAGCTGTAGGAAAGAGCCGGTCGGTACTGCTGTCGGCGGGCTCGAGGAAACACTTCCAGAAGAAAAAACAGCCCAGCGTGTTACTAGGCGAGGAGAAGAACCTCCAGAGTTTGGGGGGCGGTTACTACCTGCCTTAGCACAGGCACAGGTGATGGGGCCACGGGATGGGGAAGCAAACGCTCTACAAACCCAAATACTTGGAGTAACAGTGGAAAAGGAGAGGCTGGGCCCTGGCCCCATGAGGAAGTGGCCCACGCACCAGCCGGGGCATTAAGAGCAAGCTCAGTGGCACTTTCTGGAAATGCTGAGTGGAGGAGGGACGCGACGGTCCTGTCATGTCACACAAAATTAGCGCATCCTTGGGCAGCCCAGGTGGCTGCCTATGGCCCAGGGTGTGACCCCAGGGTCCCAGGATCAAGTCCCACATCGGGCTCCCTGCATGGAGCCTGCTTTTCCCTCTGCTTGTGTCTCTGCCTCTCTCTCTCTCTCTCTCTCTCTCTCTCTCTCTCTCTCTCTCTGTCTCTCATGAATAAATAAATAAAATCTTAAAAAAAAAATCAGCGCATCCTTTAGCGCGGGGACAAGCTGTCCATGGGGACCGTGCAGTTGCAAGGTGACTCTGCGCATTCCCGTTTCCTGGGGCCTGGCAGGGCTTGGGGGCGGAGGCTGGACTCGCAGGTGCCCCCCAGCCCCCACCCCCTCTGTTAGATGGAACCGACTCTACCTCACAAGCCGCCTCTGCGTCTGAACCCGGAACTGGTGGGGACAGGCATGGTCACCCCCGGACAGAAGGACCCTTGGACTTGCTGCCGCGGGGCTGGTTCCAGGGGTGGCAGGGGGTGACAGGGTTGTGGCCCGGCTGAGCGGTCATCTTGCTGCCCTGGGCCTCCGTTCCCTG